TATATATAAATAAAGATTAATTAAATATATTATTATTATTATTCATAATAAAATTATTATATATTATTATATTTTTATAGTAATCTAACAGTTGGATTTATAAAATTTACATTTAATATAAAGTTATTGAACGGTGTGTAATACTTAGTAAAAGTTACATCAATGTTAGTATAACCCTCCTCTCTCTCTCTCTCTAAGAGAAAGAGAGATAGAGAGAGAAAGAGAGAGAGTGGAGGAATCAAATAATTTAAGAAATAACTCTTGGTAAAGTTATTCCTCTCAATAACTCATGGTGTATGTTGAATTTCATCGATCTAATTGTTAAATTAAAAGTTATTAAATATTACTAATAATTAATATAGAAAAAATTAATTAGCTTTGGAATAAATTATTTGCTAATTAATAATATAATTGAAACATTAATTATTTTAAATTATTTAACTAAAATTTTATTGTTAATTTACTATATGATATTGATATTTTTGTATAACTAATATTTAGTTTTAAATTTGATGTGAAAATATTATGATGTAATTACATATGATTTTAAGTTAGTATTTTATTAATGGTTGATAATTAGAAAATAAAATAAGGATAAATATATTTTTTGAATTTTATATCTTTGATTTAAGATAAATAAATATATTAAATTTTGTAACAATTTATTTAAAATGTTAAAATTTAATTTATAACTATGTAATAAATAAATTTTATAATTTTATAAATTATATTATCATTTTAAATTATAAAAATAAATAATTTAAATTATAATTTTAAAGAGAAATAAGTAGATTGTTAATTATAAAAGTAAGTATATATAAATAAAGATTAATTAAATATATTATTATTATTATTCATAATAAAATTATTATATATTATTATATTTTTATAGTAATCTAACAGTTGGATTTATAAAATTTACATTTAATATAAAGTTATTGAACGGTGTGTAATACTTAGTAAAAGTTACATCAATGTTAGTATAACCCTCCTCTCTCTCTCTCTCTAAGAGAAAGAGAGATAGAGAGAGAAAGAGAGAGAGTGGAGGAATCAAATAATTTAAGAAATAACTCTTGGTAAAGTTATTCCTCTCAATAACTCATGGTGTATGTTGAATTTCATCGATCTAATTGTTAAATTAAAAGTTATTAAATATTACTAATAATTAATATAGAAAAAATTAATTAGCTTTGGAATAAATTATTTGCTAATTAATAATATAATTGAAACATTAATTATTTTAAATTATTTAACTAAAATTTTATTGTTAATTTACTATATGATATTGATATTTTTGTATAACTAATATTTAGTTTTAAATTTGATGTGAAAATATTATGATGTAATTACATATGATTTTAAGTTAGTATTTTATTAATGGTTGATAATTAGAAAATAAAATAAGGATAAATATATTTTTTGAATTAGATTATTAATTATAAAAGTAAGTATATATAAATAAATATTAATTAAATATATTATTATTATTATTTGTAATATAAAATTATTATATATTATTATTATAGTACAAGTATGAGATTGTATAGTTGAGGATGACTTAAATGAATTATTTGTACAAGTTATACTAACAACATGCATATACATTTTGGTAGCACAGTTAAACGTGATTGACTTGGAGTAATATAGAGATGGATGACCTTCTGGGAAGTCTCCTAGAAACTGTGCAAGTAAGGATAAAACATGATAAAAAATGAAATGTCGTGAAATAGAACCATTTTAAGAGGCCAACATCCCTCTCGGCTTTGGCATTAATAAGAGGCACATATCCCTCACAAATTTAATCACAAATTTGTGACGGATTAAATCCATCACAAATTTGTGACGAAGTCACAAATTCTGTCACAAATTTGTGATGGAAACAAGTCCCTCACTAAGTTCGTCACAATTTGTGACAGAATTTTATTAATTTATGAACATTTAATATTAGAAAATAGTGACAGAATTTGTGATGTCTTAATTCCGTCACTAATTGTGACGGACTGAAATTATCCGTCACTAAATATTTTGTGACGCCAATTTTTGTGACGAAATCAGTTCCGTCACTAATTTGTTTTGTGACGAATTTTATATTATTTTGTGACGGATTCATTCCCTCTCTAATTTTAATTTTTCTATTAGTGTGCTCAGAATGATGAGTAACATGGTGATGTTGATGATCAACAGATTGGAGATGGATTAGAGCTTCCAATTGATGATGCTCAAGAGAAACATGATAGGGTACATGATGATGATCTTGATAATGCTCATGAGTTACCACAAATCCCTCTTAGGCGATCCAACAGGTTGAGACAACCGTCTTTCAGGTATTTTTCTTATGAATATGTGACCTTGACTGATGGAGGTAAATCTGAGTGTTTTGAAGAGGTTTTGGAAAGTGAAGAAAAGCAATAGTAGCTGGATGCAATGCAAGATGAAATAAAATCTTTGCATGATAATCACACTTAAGACTTGGTAAAGTTACCTAAGGGTAAAAAGGCCTTAAAGAACAAGTAAATTTTCAGGGTGAAGTAAGAAAGTAATTCTACATCTCTAAGGTACAAAGCCATATTAGTGGTAAAAGGGTTTAGACTGAGAAAAACTGTTGATTTTAATGAGATTTTCTCGTCTATGGTGAAGATATTATCCATCATAATTGTATTAAGTTTAGTGGCTCTTGATTTAGAGGTGGAATAGATGGATGTGAAAACAATTTTCTTTCATGGTAATTTGGAAAAAGAGATTTACATGAAACAACCCGATTATTTTTTTGTTGAAGGCAAGGAAAACTATAATATGGGTACAAATCATTGTACACGATGCTTGGTGCCTTTGATCCAAGTCTATATGTCCCGTAACATGGATGTCCGATAACCAAACCCCATAATTGAAGATTAATGAATATATATATGGAATATATTGTAGTACAGAGACAAAACTTCATGGTCCACCAAAAGACAACTCATGGATATGGATGGAGGTTTTTCAGTCAAGAAGTGCAATTTCTGTGAGATGCACTTCCAAAATGGTAGTGAATTTATTCATTTGAGTCTTTTGAAGTGCTATCCCAACCTCAATTCGACCTTCTTTGTCTCTACAGTCAGAAAGGGAGATTGATCCTGAATTATCGACGTGAACTACATCACTCCTCTTGGGCTTACCCCACCCAAAGTCAGTTTCATACACTTCAAGCTTTGGTGAGCCCGCAATTATTGTCATATGCTTCCCCAACGAGGCATATTCTCTAAAATTTGACATCAATGTTTCCGCCCCTTCAAAAGATTCACGTTGCAAATATCTAACTTTGCTACCGATAGCGATGGCTGCCTCCAAAATACCATTTCCTAATCCTCCCACAAGCTTCCCCCTGTTGACTACAACATTCCCACAAACCAAACAATTCCCAAAGTATTCCAATGGAATTGAAAATTCCGGACGATTACGACAATCTGCCATGAAGGCCAAAATGTATGACTCATCATCATTAACTTTATTCTCTTCTGATTTCACCTTACAAACCCAAATCAATGCACATGTTACCACAAAGGTTGTTATGTGCGGTATCGCTAGACCATGGCTTTTGCCCTTAATAGATACCCATTTCTTGAGTTTCTCAACATGGACATGGCTCAAGACAAACGTGTGACGCACCATGTCACTAGGAACATCACGTTTGATGCCCTTGGACTCTATATTTTCCGGCAAAGAATTCCACAATTCTTGTAAGAAAATGGGCTTAAGGCCTTTCGGGTCTTGAATGATGTCCCTGTTGTGCAAAGGCATAGCAAGAGAGCCTTGAAAGGAAGCCAGGCCCAAGTCTTGTTTTGATGACTTACAAAGAGAGGCCCAGAATTTCATGAAGTGATGAAAAGCTCTCCCATCTGCAGCCACGTGTCTGAAAGTGATGCATATGGTGAAGGCGGAATAGGGCATAACAGTGACCTGAATGGCCATGAGAGGGATCACAAATGTGCCATCTTCTAAGGTACGTGGTGGTGGCAAGGAGGGAACAAAAGGGTGCAAAAGAGTGACATCTCTTGGGGAATTATGAGACACGAGGGTGGTGACATCTGCTAGTGTGGACTCAGCTACGGTGAAGGAGATGGAGTCAGCGTGAGTGTAGAGGATGTGAGGGGTGTTTGGCTTTGGTGGGAAGAGTAGGTTGGAAGAGAAAGGGAAGAAGTGTTGGAGAGTTAGGGAAAGGTCTCTCTTGAGGGATGGAAGGAGGGGTTGGGAGACGGG